GATGGAGTGGTGGGAAGAGAAGATGGATTCATTGGGTCCCTCGTGGAGTCGGGAGAGCGTTTTATCTCTCACCCCCACCGCCCCCACACCCCTCGCCCATCCCCCCCCCCCCCCACCCACAGCTGTACGCAGTGCTTGGAACCTCACATTATCAACTTTCCCACCCGTTTGAATTTTTTGTTGTCAGGCGGGTGGGTGTCTGACACATGTGGAAACCCGTCACCATTGCTTAAGAGTCTCCAAACCAAACCGAGAATTCCAGGCATCCCATGTGTAGACATGGAAATCCCAGAGATAGATTGTTGGAATGGGATGCGCTCTCTCTTCCCGGAGGGACACACCCCGCTTACCTGGTTCCGGAAAGGATTAGGCACGGGTTGGCGAGAGCCAAGGCTTGGGGGTGAAGCTTAGAGTGTACGTTGGGGGAACTACTGGAGTCTAACCAGCGAAGCATTGATAGCAATGCCTGACAAGCTTTCCCGCGGCTTGTCCAGCTAGGACCACGCTACTGGTTAGGGCCAATAATTAGAAAAAAACTGTATTTTCCCCCCAAAAAAGGAAAGAGGACAATGATTAGTTTTAAAAAATCTCGAATTCTGCCCATCCCACGCACGGGAGCCTTATCCCGAATCCCTCCCTGGGTGCAGCAGTGACTCAACAACTCCTACACAGCATTCCTGAGAGAGCAATCACCAAGTTCCTCTCCGTTCCACTGCCCCCGACAAGGGCTGAGTGATGTGTGATCACATCATCCTGGATGGGGTAAAGAGGCAGAGGCTGGGGTCAAAGGCACCAGCTGTCTGTCCCCATCCCCCCCCCCACCACCCAGAAGAAAACCTATAAAAGTGAAATATCATCATTTATGTCTCGCTGCTTTTTTTAAAGGGATGTGCAGACGGATATTTATTTCTGTCAAGGTTTTTTTGGGGGGGCTATATCTATTTTGTGACCTCTTCACACTCGATGCTTTAAAAGTGGATAATGAACCGTGTGTTTGATTCTCCCCCCCCCCGCACCATCCCCTCCCAACTCCCCAAATTGTTGGATTGTCTCAAAAAAGGGCTTCTCAGTGGCTGTGGAGTGGAGTGACTGTGTGTGTACGTGTGTCTGGGAGACTGAGGCAGCCATTTGGAACACGAATGGTGGGTTTGACGCTAAAGGGCTTTGGGACGCCACCCTGCCTGAGTGGCGCTATATAAGTTGCTGTTGTTTGAGTCTCTTTCCCCCCCCCCACCCAAGTCAATGACCAATTTATTTAGTTGGCCAGGACATGGGGAGAAACTCCCTGTTCTTTAGCGCGAGTGAGTATACAACAAACAACAATAAAATTACTTTTGTAAAGCGCTTTTCACGCCGGAGGGGGAACGTCCCAACGTGTTGAGTAGGGAGATAACAACAACAGCAAATTACATTTACGCAGCGCCTGTCACGTCCCAAAGCCCTGGGCAGTCAGGCAACCGAACCCGAGCTGGTGGTCAAGATCAAGAAGGGGTGGAAGGCAGGGAGGGTGGGGGTAAGAGGGTGATCGAAGGCACGGTCGAAGAGGAGGGTCTTGAGACGGATCTTGAAGGAGGCGAGGGAGGGGAGCGAGGCTGAGGGACTGTGGGATGGAGTTCCACTGATAGGACTGAATGTTGAATCTCTCAGCTGAAGGATGGCATCTCTGACAAGGTAGCGCCTGCCCACCCTCCCGCCCTCACTCCCTCCCTCGCTCCCTCCCCATTCTCTGGCACTTACCTTGAGAGTTACCTCCTGCAGTGGCCAGTGAGAGAACCTCACGCAGACAATCCGAAGGGAAGGAATTGAGGTGAAGACGGGCCTTCGGGTGGTTTGTGTTTTTATAGGGAAGCTCGGAAAACCTAAAACTGTCCGGAGAAAGGAATCGGAACTGGAATGAGAGTAGTAACAGCCCTACACTGTACGTCTCACCACCGACTCCTGTCCTGCTCCAGTGCTGGGTTAGCTGCTCTCTCAGCAATGCACACGCCAAGCACATGCGACGCACACGCGACATACATACACACTTACCGCACGTACCTCCTCAGCCGAACGGCAGCCTCTTCAAGGACCTTTTTTTTTAATAAAAATGCTCGTCAAAGCGAGCGCCAGCCTGTGAAAGGAATTGTTATCTCACACACCACAGAATTCTGTTCTTCGCCGAAACGCACGCGATGATGCGAGAGAGGGCAGGTTCTGGTAACGGGATATCTTTCCCCCCCGCCCCTCCGCCCACTGTGTGTGAGAGAGAGAGAAAGAAAGACACACACACGCTGTAACTTAAGAGAGTGAGTGAGAGAGAGAGAGAGAGAGAGAGAGACGGTGAGAGAGAGAGACAGTGAGGGAGTCACACACCACCATATGGGCACCACTGAGTTTCCTTATTAATGAATCCCATTGAGAAAAATTGTAAATTGGACTCCGTTAGTTGCAGTGACGTTTGCTTAAGAACAAAACCTGCCATTTCAGCAAAAGCAGAACAAAATGGCTGCCGCAGAGGATGGGCTGATGGGCAGCGAGACAGAGAGAGAGTTGACGTCTTACTGGAAATCCAATAATAATAGCGATAATAATCTTTTCATCTGATAAGATGTTTCGCACAACATTGCAAATCCTCACAGCTCTTCAAGGGTAGTCACTGCCAAGTGAAGTGACTGTGTATTTTGCTGAGGGAATGCGGCAGCCATTTTGCTCACAGCAAGGTCCCGCAAACAGCTGTGAAGCGAGTGAGCAATTCCTTCTGGAGGGATTGTTGGGGGAGAGAAAAACTCCTCTCTCTTTTCCGATAGGATCTTTAAATGTCCGTGTGGGACGGGATGTGGGCTTAAGGTCTCGACCACAAGGTTGGCAACAACCTGGGGCCTAACCTGGGAGATGGAACCCAGGAGGACCTTTGGATTCGTCACATCCGTGGAGATGGGCTGGTCTGTCGTTCCGATTCCCCGCCATTGCTGTAACCTCCTCATCACTCACCAGGGGGCCTGGTTGAGCCCAGACACAGGACAAAGTTAATTGGCCAAAGAACCGAGGGGGGACTAGACGAGGAGACATGTTTTTACCCAAAGAGTTGTTAGGGTCTTGAAAGGCTTGAAACAGATTCGATCATAGCTTTCAAAAGGGAATTGGAGAGGTCCTTAGAAAGGGAACATCAGTGGAGCTATGGGGTAAGAGCGGGGGAGTGGGACTAGTTGGTCGCTCTTTCAAAGAGCCGGGACAGGAATGATGGGCCGAATGGCCTCCTTCTCTGCTGTGAGATTCCGTGATCCCAGGATGGAATCGGACGGAAAATGGAATCCGTAGAAATGAATGCACAGGGGAGTGGACTTCTGTATGGAATATTTTTAGTGGATGGGAGGAGAGTAAAACAGAGGGCGTTTGGGAAAGGGGTGTGTGGGGGAAATCGGAATTAACCCTTGCAACCACTGAACTAGAACAAGCAAGTGAGCAATTGGAAGGATGAAACCTGTAAACGAGCAAAAAGAAATCGCAATGATTCAACAAGCGTTTTTTTCTGGCTCCTGAAAGCAAAGCTGAAGCAAGAGTTAGTATCATTCTGGCAGGAACAGGATAAACGCTCATCAGCCTCCCCTCCTCCTCCCTCCCCCTCTTTACCCCCCAATCCTCAAAAACCAAGGAATTATCCGCTGCCTGGAGACCTCTGAATAATCACAGTAACAATCCTTGCATCTGATACAGATATCATGCCGTAGAGACGTCTCAAAGCGCTTCACAGAATACACTGTAAAGTGGAGTGACTGCATATTTTGCGGGAGAAAAGCGGAAGCCTATTGCACACAAGAGTGTCCTACAAACAGCCGTGGAGTGAGTGACCAATTTTATTTGGGGGATTGTTGGCGAGGACACTGGGAGAGAGAAACTCGCTTCTCTTTTCGAACAGCGCTGTGGGATCTTTCGGTTTAACCTCTCATCTGAAGGACGGCACCTCCGACAATGCAACCCCCCCCCCCCACCGCTGTATTGGAGCGTCAGCTTAGACTGTGTGATTCCAAGTCTCACCGTGGGGGCCTTGAACTCACAACCTTCTGACTCAGAGGTAAGAGAGAAAGAGAGAGAGAGAGAGCGCTACCACTGCGCTAGGCTGACACGTAATGGTTTGTGATCGTAAAGGAACATAAAGGAGCTTACCGTACGCCGAGGTTGTTCTCTTGACAAGGGGTTGTCCTCTGGTGGTGGACTGGGCTGGGCTGGCTGTTTTGCATGCGCCCCAGGGAAAGCTAGGAGGTTGTACAGCTATCTCCCATGGTGTATCTCTAAACTATACAACCTACTACCTCACCCTGAGTGCACACTGGCTCCCCTCCCCCAGGCTCCTCGCATTCAGTCGCTGCTCAAGAAAAGCCGCTGTTTGTTGATGTTCGTGGGGGTGGTGGGGGTGGGGTTCGGAGGGAGAAGAGAGGAGCGGCCAAAGCAGCGGGAAGTTCAGAGTTTACCGGAATGGGATGAAAGCTACAGCTGATGATGAGCCTAAGTCCACGGAGCGAGGACCTTCTCTGGAGACAGTTCAAGGCCTCAGCTCCACGGCAAGAACAAACGCGCACATAGACATACCATACATACACATAGCACCCGCACACTTACACACACAGCACACACACACATACAAACACACACACACAGACGCACGGAAGCCACTTCAGACTAAACATAACACCTTTCTTTCAGAGCCGTGAGAAATAAGAGTCACCTTGGCAACAAATGCAGGGCAGACTCCTCTCCCTCTCCTGTGCCCTCCACACTGCAACATGACAGCCTCCTCCGCAATCAGGAGTCTGTACGTGCACACGCGCGCGTGTGTGTGTGTCGCGCGGGGGGTGGGGGGGGTGTGGGGGGAGATACCCGGCGCAGTAGGGAGGCTCTGTTGCTGATTGTCGAGGAGAGCGATTCACACTCGATTCCCGCACTCGAGGGCTTGTTGCCAGATAGACACAGACCGATAGACACGAGCTTGTGAGATTAAGGGAACGCAAGTTCGGATCTACGGGTTTGTGTTGCCTGGCGCTGAGTCTTGCGGTTTCGGCATTCGTTAGCATCTCGGTTCCTCCGCCTTTGCCACCTCCGCTCGTCTCTCTCTCTCTCTCTCTCTCTTTCTCTCTCCTCCCCGTCTCACTCCCAAGGCCTCGCTCTCTGCTGCCCTTTCTCATCCCTTCTCTCCTCGCCCCCCAACCCCCACCCACTGCGTTCTGCTTTGCCTTTGCCCATTGGTTTTCCTCTGCCTTTGCCTTGTCTCATCTCTCGCTCTCTCTCTCTCACTCCCCACCCTCTCGCTCTCCGCTGCCCTTTCTCATTCTATCTCTTCCCCTCCCACCACCCACCCCTTCCCCTCTCCCCTCTTGTCGTCAGAGTGAACCTCGAGAAAGTTTAGCGAGCGGGAGAGAGTTCTAAAGCGAGTAGGGAGGGAAATCATTTCTTGGCTCAAGTTTCTCGTCATGTCAAATTAGAAAAGGCAAAACACCAACATTCCAGCATTGCTTTTCGTTCTCTCTCTCTCTCTCTCCGGGCAATGCATTAATCGAACGACATCCTCTCCCCCCCCACCCGCCCCTCGCCTTGGGTAGGTCGTACCTTGTCGGGTTAAGCTGTCCTCCTACAATCGTGGAGACAAAAAAAATGAGAGGAAAGAGAGAGTGAGCAAGAGAGAGAGAGAGAGGGGGAATGTGAGAAGCAACAACAGCAACACATTACATTTACACGGTGCCTTTCCCGTCGGGAGGACGTCCCAAGGCGCTGGACAGTCAAGGATTTGAATCCAAGCTGACGGTTGGGATCGGGGGGGGAATGGGTGGGGGGGAGGGGAGGGAGGGGCCACATTGAAAAACCTACTCGCGTGTTCTCAGTGTCACGTAAAAAGGTAAAACGCAGCAATGAAGCGAATTAAGACCCCACCCTCCACCCCCCCCCACCATGAGATTTAAACAGGATGATTATTTTTTCAAAGCGAGCTATTCCGAGTGCCCGATCTCTCTCTCTCCCTCCCTCCCTCCCTCCCTCTTCGCCCTGTGTTATCGGCAGGCATGCTGTGCCATGCTGTGGTGGGTGCAGGGTCTGGGCAGTGCCAGTGTCAGGATCTCGATCAACACTTTGGGGCCAATAGGGCAGCTGGGAGCAGAGCAGAGGACCAGAGAGCGAGACAGAGAGAGACACAGAGAGAGTGAGGGAGATAGAGAGAGTGAGCGAGACAGACAGAGATAGAAAGAGATGAGCGAGACAGACAGAGACAGAGTGAACGAGATAGAGAGAGTGAGCGAGACAGACAGAGATAGAAAGAGATGAGCGAGACAGACAGAGACAGAGAGAGAGTGAGGGACACAGAGAGAGTGAGCGAGACAGACAGAGACAGAGAGAGTGAGCGAGACAGACAGCGTGAGAGAGACAGAGAGAGAGAGTGAGTGAGACAGAGAGAGAGTGAGCGAGACAGACAAAGACAGAGAGAGAGTGAGCAAGAGAGAGAGTGAGTGACTCAGAGAGAGAGAGAGAGAGAGAGCGATGACAGCTATGGAGCCGGGCAAGGAGACTCTAATCCAAAGCGCTCACCACTCTCCACCAATGTAATCGATAAGTAAAATTGCTGACTGGTCCTGAACGCTTTGTTTTATAATGCGATGATTGGAAACAAAATCTGTCTAACGCAGTAGCAAAGAGGGTGTGTGTGTGGGCATTGGATGGGGTGGGGTGTGTGGGGGGGGGGGGCGCGATAGGGGGTGTGAGAGGGGAGAGGGGGGGTGGAGAAGGGGGAAAAAAAAGGATTTTGATGAAGATGTTTCAAAACGCTCAATCGCTCGATCAAAATAATATTTATATAGATGTATCAACAAAAAAACCTCCAAAAATAAATCAAAAGGAATGTTAGAGTATTCTCTCTCTCGCTCACGTTCTCTCCCACTCGCTTATGCTCTCTCTCTCTCTCTCTCCCTCACTCTCACCCTCGCTCTCTTTCTCTCGCCATTGTGCGATGTGGAACGCCGCTGTTCTCCTCCGGTGCCCACTCGCCCGCCCGCCCTTCCGCCTATGACGCCAGGGCATTGAACACACATGGACCGCACGAGCCACACAATCGCTTGGTTGATGGTTAGCCGTGGCAGACAGTGAGAGGAGGGAGGTCAGAGAGAGAGAGAGAGAGAGAGAGAGAGAGAGAAAAAGAGAGGGGCGAGAGATTTGTGGTCACATAAAAGACTTTGTGAAGGTAGTGAACAAACACTCGGGGTTCTCAGATGAGCATAAACTTATTCCTTCTCCCCCCGCCAACCCACCCCTCGCCAACGCGCCCCCTCACTCTCCCGTCTCGCTCACTTTTAACAAACTCATGTTGGCCTTTTCCTTTCCAACTGTTCGGTGGTGATTAAAGGAGAGCGAGCGGCCGGGCAGGGAGAGAATGAGAGAGAGAGAGAGAGAGAGGGAGAGAGAGAGAGAGAGAAAACGAGAGAGAGAGAAGAGAGAGAGAGAGAGAGAGCGCGGCAGGGAGGGAGGTGGTTTAATGCGGATCTTGGCACAAAGCAAAAACGCCGCCATCTCAATTTTATAATCAGATGGTACCTCAGTGGATCTTGTATCCAAAAAGAACGGGAGAGCCAGAGAGAGCCCGTGAATGAGCGAAAGAGAGAGAGAGAGAGAGAGCATGAGCGAGAGAGCGAGCAAGAGAGAGAGCGAGAGAGAGAGAAAGCGAATCTACTTTGAAATGCAGACCGGTTGCCAAATCAGTTTAACACTTTGGTGGCACCGAACCCAGGTCATATACAAAAAAAAACAGTGGAAAGTTATTTTTTGGGGGTTGGGAAGGGGGTGGGGGGGTGGGTGGGGTGGGGGTGGAAATCAAGCTCCCGAGACAGGATGTGTTGGGTGAGAGCTTGTGCCCGCTTCCAGGCAGCCTGGCAACACTGAGTGACGGAAGTGTGGGGGCATTCACTGCGGCTCTCTCTTTCTCTGCCTCTCTTGCTCATTCTCTCTCTCTCTCTCTCTCTCTCTCTCGTTCTTTCCCTGTCTCGCTCTTTTTCTTTCTCTCTCTCTCGCGCTGGGTTTAAAGGGATTGTCCCTGGCGTTCTGCTAAGGTTGGACTTTGTGTTTAATGGCCTTCGAACTTCTACCAAACTGTGTCCAACCAAATGGACAGGAGGAAATGGGGTTCGGGGTTGGGGGTGGGAGGAGGTGGGAGTGGGGTTGCGGAGGGAAGGGTGGGCGGTGGTGGGGGGGGGGGGCGGGGGGGAGAAGCAGCCGCAAGAACAAAGGCCGAGGAAACTGGCAGCCAAGCGTGTGTCGTACGTTACACTTACCGCGACGTCTTAACAATTCAATTCCGACAGACAATTTTGAGTGTAGTTTTGCACAGAAACCGAAGAGCGAGACTGAGGAATAGGGGGAGGGAGGTGGCCAGAGATTCATCCACTCTCTTTCCTTTCTGTTGATGGGGATATTGTACAAGAGGTTTGTTAAAGCTTCGTGTTCTCTAGGCCGGGGGCTCGAGAGAGAGAGAGAGAGAGAGAGAGAGAGAGAGAGAGAAAAAAAAATAATCACGCTTTCCAAAAATAAAGCCAAATTAACCAAATTTTAAACTCTCTCTCTCTCTCTGTCTGTCTGTCTCTCGCTCTTTCTCTCTCTCCGCAACCAGCCAACCAATGCTCCCCCACCGCTCTCTCTCTCTCTCTCTCTCTCACACACACACACACCAACTCCCCCTTAAAAAAAAAGTCAGCTGTAAATCCCTGTGCTTTAGCGGCCAATCTGCTTCTTGTTTCACTGTGTAACGGCAGCAACATCTGTTTGTAAACTGAAGCCGCGGATTGCTTTTGGCTTGGCTTTCGAGTGCAGAAAACCATGACAGGGAGCGAGAGAGTGAGCGAGAGCGAGAGAGAGGCGCCAGGGTTTGATTAAAGCAGTAGAACTCTTTTCTTTCCTCTCGTTCTCTCTCTCTCTCTCTCTCTCTCTCTCCCCGTTCTGGGTTTCTCTCTCTTCAATCTCTCCCTCCTCGCTCCCTTCTTCTCCAACCTTCTCTCTCTCGCCCACACACTCTCCTCGCTCTCTCTCTCTCTCTCTCTCTCTCCATTTCTCTTTCTCTCTCTCTTCACACTCTCCCTCCTTACTCCCTCTACTCCACCCTTCTCTCTCTCTCTTTCTCTTGCCCACACTCTCTCTCCTCGCTCGCTTTCCCTATTCTCTTTTTCTCTCTCTCCACACTCTCTCTTTCCTTGCTCCCTCCTTCTCTCACCCCTCTCTCTCTTTTCTCTCTTGCCCACACCCTCTCTCTCCTCGCGCTCTCTCTCTCTCTCTCTTTCATTTACTGGTTTGGTTTGCAGGGCAAAGTTGTACTGCACTTCGACATGTTCAGAAATATTGAACCATAGCTCTGGGTTATTAAACACTATTCCTAAATCAACAGTCTCTGTCTCTCTGTCTTCCTCTCCCGGTCCCTTTCTCTCACTCTTTCTCCCGCTACGTCTCTTTCTCTTTCTTTCTCTGTCTCTCTCGCTCGCTCTTCTCTATATATCTATTTATCTCTCTCTGTCTTTCTTTCTCTATATCTCTGTCCCTTTCACTCTCTCTCCCTCTAGATCTCTTCTTCTCTCAGTCTTTCTCTCTTTCTATCCCTCTCGTCCTCTGTCTCTTTCAATCTCTCTCGTAAAGTCAATACTTATATTTCAGAAAGGAGTGTGTGTGTGTGTGTGGTGGGGGGGTTGGGGGAGGACGAGAGGGGATGGGCGTTCCTTTACACAACCTTTCCCCAAAAGTTGTCGAGGGAAAGGCAATGCTTGTGTGTGTGTGACGGGGTCTATGAGGTCTATTAAGACACCTACAAAAGTCAGCACCTATATCAATCCTCTGGCAACCAGAATGAGCTCAGTAATCTCTATGCTGGGAAGCTTTGCGAGCAGTCGGATCCAATCTGGTCATTTATATATTTAAAAAGAAATGAGAAACATTTCTGCAAGAGAGAGGGAAGTGGGTAGAGAGAGAGAGAGAGAGAGAGAGAGTGAGAGAGAGAGGGTGATAGAGAAAGAGAAAGAATGAGGAAACAAAAAGCTATAAAATAACCCAACTGAAATCTACAGTAATTGTGTGTTGAAGTCGTACAGTATGAAACCAGGCTGTGTTACTGCAGAGAGACCTGTGTAAGGGAAGGCACAGATCTTGACCTTTCTCCTACATCCCATCTCGCATGCGAATCACGAAACACTGCGACATCCCTGGACCAATCCAGCACATTAATCTCAAACTGCGAGCCAGCGAGCGAGCAGCCTGGCAAGGGAATGTGTGTGAAGAGAGACAAGCAGAGAGGGAGGAGAGAGAGAGAGAGAGAGAGAGACAGGGGGAAAAGAGAGACAGACAGAGAGGGGAGAGACGGGGAGAGACAGAGGGACAGAAGGGGAGGGAGAGAGAGGGAGGGGGAGAGGGACAAATAGAGACGAGTGAGACAGATGGAGAGGGGAAGAGACAGAGGAGGAGGGAGGGAGAGAGAGCGAGAGATGGAGGGAATGAGGAAGAGGGAGAGAAATCTGGGAAGAAATGTACAGTGCAGAAGGAGGCTATCCGGCCTATCAAGCCTGTACTGGCTTTCACAGAGGGCTGCCCGCCCCGCCCCAATGTAGTGCCTTATCCCTATTCACCCCCCCCAACAAGAATGATAATACACCGTGCATTTCATAGAGCACCGCACCACCTCGTCAAGAACAAGCACAGCTCTGACAGCAACACTGAGGCCCTGTACAGCAAATGGGAACAAAGGGATTAACACACACACACTGCATCTCTGCACGTGTGAGAATGTGTGCCGTGCAAGTGTGGGTGTGTAGGGGGGGGTGGGTGGGTGGTAGTGGGGTGGTGGGGGCTGGAGAGAAATTGTGCTAAATGCACAAAAGAGAGCGAGATGGGGGATGGGTTGGGTTGCGGGGGTCGGGGGGCAGGAGTGGGGGAGGGTTTGTGGAGGGCAGACGGTTGCAGGAGTGGGGGTGGCGGGTTTCGGGGCACGGAGGGGTGCAGGCGGGGGGTGGGGGTAGTTGTGCTAAACGCACACAATCTCCTGTGACTTAACATGTGCCAATGAGGGGCTGGGAAGCTGCATAGAAAGCTCAGGTTGGCCAGGAGCCAACTCATTTCACTAGCAATTGATTGTGGCTCTGCCATCCTCCAGGGCCTCTCAGACTAGTCCCGTCATGCATCTGACACTCAGCCTGTGTCAGAGATAAACTCTCCATTAACAGGAGAGACAGAGAGAGAGGAGAGAAAGAGGGAGAGGGGGAAGAGGACTCTGAAACTGGCAAAGGAACCTCTGGCCTAAGGTGCCTTCTGTACATACTCTTTCTCAACCTTAATTAACTCCCCCACTGCCTTGTTCGCTCGCACTCTCTCGCTCGCTCCCCCTTTCCTTTCCTCCCTCCCTTTCCTCACTACCAGCCAGGAAAGTGAGGGGGTGGGGCACCGAACATAAGCCCCGATCGCCGTTGGCGTAAAGTAATCCAGGTCTCGGTACGCGGTTCATTAGATGGATTTTTTTAAGCTATAATTAGTCCTCCTGTTATTCCTCTGCTCTGGGCAGCTGCCAAGTGTTGCTTCAGATCCTGCCTTGCCAATCGAGCCAATAATTGGGGCCCTGCTTATAACTCAAGGTGGTTTGACTAATAAGATACACACACACAGCGTTAGCCCATTAGACACGCAGCCCGGTTGAGTGATTCCAACCTTCTCTCTCTCTCTCACCTCAGTTTCTGGTTCTCCCAAGCTTTGGGTTCCGTCTCAACTTGTCTTCTCCTCGTAGCCAGCCAGCGCTCTTCATAATCCTCTCCCGTTTAACGACGTCTCAAAGAGTTCGCAGGCAGCTCGTCCGTCTGGCGGAGTGACTGGGTGCGTCTGTCGGTAAACGAAGCAGTCATTTTGCACTCAGTGAGGACCGATCGATTTAAAAGACTGAGGCCACCGAGAGAGAGAGAGAGAGGGGGAGGGAGACACAGAGAAACTCCCTTCTCTTTTCCAACTTCTCCACAGGATCATTAACGTCCACCTGAACAGACAGGGAGCTCGGTTTAAAGTCTCATCCAAAGGACGGCATCCAGCACTCTTTTCCCAGACTCTCCCCTCCCTTCCCCTGACCGAGGGCTGAAATGTGAGGCTTAAACACACAACCTTCTGGCGTAGAGGTGAAAGCGCTACAGGCTGACACCCAGCCCTTCCTCCTTCCCTCCCTCGCGGTGTCTTGACTGGAGAACACCTCCAGATAAATTGGTCATGCACGTCACCATCGATCAATGCGGAATTTGGGGGGGGAGGGCCTTGCTATGTGCAAAATATCTGCCGTGTTTGCTTACAAACGCAGTCACTACGCTTGCCAAAAATTCCCTGTGAAGGCGCTTTGATGAAAATGTGAGGATTATTATTATTATTGATGAAGAGTGGGAGAGAGTCACCTCCAATGCGGAATGAACTACCATTGTCCCTGAGCTGTGAGCCTCTGCTGAAGAGTAGTCGTGCAGTCAGAGCTCTCTAAACAGGAATACAGACGCACAGATTTGCACACACACACACACACACAGACCCACACACACAGATGTGCACACATAGAACACAAACAACAACTTGCCCTTCATGCAGGGTAGGGTCCCGGAGTGCTTCCTAACCACAGACACACAGACACACAGACACACACACTAAGCTGATCAATGGTGCCTATGGAATTCTCGCCTTGAGACGAGAGAGAAAATTGGATAAACTCCCGCAGAGAGCGGTGAACCCGACCTCCAGTGTCCACGGCTTCCCCTTAACTTTGTGTCAATTAAATAAAAAAGGCAGACCGTAATTAGCGCAGCCTTTCACACCCACAGTTTCCTGGAACCTCCCTCCCTCCCTCTTCTGTTCACATCTCTACCTTTGAGAGTAGCACGAGAGACCGTGCTCCACTTGCCAACTCACCCGAGACAACCTGGGCAGATTTGGCAGCCGATCAGAAGAGGAGAGAGAGCCCTGCTTTGTTACACAGACTAATTTAGGTTCTGTGCTTTCTTCCGCTAACTCCTTGCCCTGGCTGCTCCCCCCACCCCCCACTCACTCCCCACTCCCATTGATGGTGCAGGTGTGCATTCATTCCCTCACAGAAATCCCCGCCATTTCCCGCTGTGCTCAGGATCTGGTTGAAGGCTGACTGAATCCCAGAGAAGTTACAGGAAACCTTCTGCCCAGTGCGTGAAGCGGTCAAAAGACTCGTTAAGGCAGGAGGGACACGCAGGAGGAGCAAGTTATACACAGTCACTCCATTTTGCAGGCTATCCCGCGAAGCGCTTTGAGACGTCTTGACAATGTGATAAGCTGTTAAATCAATAATAATTATAATAATAATAATCCTTGCATTTGATTATTACTATCAAATCTGCTTCCCATTGGAAGCAGATTTGGGACGTCCTCCTGACGTGAAAAGCGCTATATCAAAATGCAAGGATTATTTGATAGTAGCTTTCAAAAGGCGAACAGAAAAAATCTGCAGAGCTATTGGGAAAGAGCGGGGGAATGGGACTAGTAGGTAACTCTTTCAAAGAGCCGGCACAGGCACGATGGGCCGAATGGATTCTATGATTCTAAGCTCGAGGCTTGAGAAGCTTGGGGGAGGGGGGGGTTGGAAACACGTCAAAAAAGCCCAAAAGAGAAATAAGGCCATCAATCGACCAATGTTAAAAGAGTGATAATAATAATAATAATCCTTGCATTTGATACAGCGCCTTATCATGACATTGAGATGACTCAAAAGCACTTCACAGGATATTCTGTAAAGTGATTTGACTGTTTATTTTGTGGGCGAAACGGATTGAATAATCACATTATAATTATTATTTCTTTTTAGACAGTGCTTCTAGGCAATGGTAAATAAGGTCAGAGCTCGTGCTCTCTCCGTTCCCCTAGCGGTGCTCGGGGAGTCTGCAATGTGCAATAAATACACAGATTTATGAAAGCCGTGACTCAGAGGTGACTAAGCATTCGTTCGCGTCAACTATTCCCCGAACCTCAGCACCAGGCTCCAGATTTTTTTCTTCCTCTCTCTCACTGCTCTCCCCTCCTCCAAAAACCAACGCCTCATTCTGTTCATCTGAGTCACACGCACTCGCTCGGCAATCTGCCAATGTGAGAGCCTTGGTCATGTGGTCAACAGCAGGACCTCTCATGAGCACAGGCCAGGTTTGGGGTGAAGACCCCCTTAGGCCATTTGATCTCTTCCTTCCCAAATCCCCCCCCTCCCCGCCCGCCCACCTCTCCTCCCAGTGTCCTGGCCCTAACCACCCTTCCTGCTAACCCTGTTACACTTGTTAATCACAACAACAACAAATTATTTGTATAGCGCTTTTCATATCGGGAGGACGTCCCGAGGCGCTGGATCACCATCTATGTGAAGACGTACTTCCCGGTGACTGTCCTGAGATTGACCGTGGGGTATGGGTGGGGGTGTGGTGGAAGAATCACTGCTGTGAAGGCAGAGGGAGAGAGAGAGAGAGAGAGGAGCGAGAGAGAGGGAGAAAGTGAGAGAGACCAAGAAAGGGAGCGAGGGAGAGGGAGAAAGAAAGAGGCAGAGGGGAAGATAGAGAGTGAAGGATGGAAGCAGGGAAGGAGTGAGGTCTCTGTGTGTCTGTGTCTGTTTGTGTGGGTGTCTGTATGTCTATGTGTCTGTGTGTGTGTGTGTGTCTGTGTCTATGTGTGTGTGTGTGTCTGTGTGCCTGTGGATGGCGGCCACGGAATGACTCATGGTTAATAAAACACATCCACGTTAGAGAGTTGCCACCAGCCCTTTCCTCCGCAGGGACAGACCAGCCATTGCTAGCCACTGATTCACTTCCTGAGCTTGGAGTGGTCTTAAAGGGGCCTCACTCCACGAACCCCGGGAGGGAACACAGTAATATTCCAGCCCTGGTTTCCTCAAGTCATAAACCAGGCATGTGACTGACCATGTGTCTGCACATGGTCTACCCCACCCAGAGCTCCCGCTTGTATATAACATCAGGAGACTAGCCTCTGCCCCCCCCCTGCCCTGCCACACACACAACCTCCCCGCCCCACCCCACATGCACAACCCTCTCTCTTTCTCTCCTCCCCAAAATGGTAGCAATTTCTTAAATGGCCCTCGCACATCTGTCTCGCGAGGCCTTTAACCAGGTGTGTGCCTTGATACAGACATTTGAACGCACACAAATACTCATGCGCACCACACACGTACAGACACACACATACTCACGCACGCTCACACAAGCACTCACATGTGGTGTGCGCACACACCAAGGGGGTGGGCGTAACTAGGCTGATTGTAACCCCCAACTGCTTGGGGGAACGGGGGAAGAGTGGGTGACTGGCCAAGTCTGACTGAACAGGAGGGAAATTAGAAGTGGGGGGGGAGCGGAATTGGACGCACATGGAAACAAGCAGAAACTAAATGGTGGGATTGAGTTACGCAATGACTTACCTGGGTCTCTCCACACTGTTGTGGAGGGGGGGGGGGGGCGTAAATACACTCCTTCCTCTCCCCCCTTCCCCAGCCCCTCCTCTCGCTGCTGACTTCCGCTAATGCTTCCTGCAAACCCCATCGCTTCCTGGAAATATTTGTTTTACAGGAAAAGGAGCGTGGCTGATCCCGGCTCAGGGAGATGGGAGCTCAGCCGGCACTGACCAGAGGAGAAATAAAAAGAAACAATAATATTGTTTAAATGCTGACATTTAGGTGCTGAAATAAATAATTATAATCCTTAATAATCCTTGCATTTAATACAGTGCCTTATCACGTCTTCAAGACGTCTCAAAGACTATACAGTAAAGTGAATTGACTGTATATTTTGTGGGTTCAATGCAGCAGACAATTACGCACAGCAGCGTCCCCACAAACAGTCCTGGATTGACTGTTGCCTGAATTATTGCCCCGGAAAAGCGATCTGCCCATCGACTAACAACCAGGTTCCAACTTATTGCTAAGTAAACAGAGGCGTGTGGAGTAGGAAACTTGCCTACGGTTGCACCCCGCCCGGGAATTGAACCTGGGTCTTCTCGCTTGCGAGGTGAGTGCTCCCACCACTACGCTTCAGGACTCCACAATAGAATGGTGGAACAGGCTCGAGGGGCTGAATGAACTCCTCCTCTTCCTGTTCCGAAATGAGTCTTTCTACTGTATCGGTGCTGATTATTTTCCGCTTCCCACATCGCCCCGTGGCCTCTCAGTGAGAGAAGCTGCCAATTCAGAGCACTCTATGTGACCCTCAGCCCAACGCCCCTCGAAACCTGGGCTGGAGCTGCCTGAAGTCATTTGAAACGTAACCTTTTCCATCCCACTGCACCGGGCCGGGTTATGAGCCAGTGAGTCCTCAAACACCGCCTCGTCCCGCCTGGGTGACCATTTTGTTGGCCCAGAATTGTGGATGATTCTTAAACGCGGTCATTTCACCCCCACCGCACCCTCCCCCCACCACCCCGCCCCCTGCAGGTTTTTATTAAGAAGCAGACTGGAAGGTCTGTGTGTCTATGTGCACGTGTGTATGTGTGCATTCATGTGTGTCTGTGTCCTTGTGTGAGTGCATGTGTGTGTGTGTCCGTACGCATGGCCGTGTAAGTGTCTGCGTCCATGGACATCAGGTGAGTATGGGTGGGATTAAACTGCCCCCCCTCCCCTGTGTCTGACCACTCTCATGACACTCACTGTCTGGCCTCACAACAATAACAATCCTTGCTCTCAACGCAGCGCCTTGTAACGGTGTCGCGACTTCTCAAGAGATTTACTGTAGAGAGGGGCGACTGTGTGTTTTGTGGGTGAAATGCGGCAGCCAGTTCCATGGCTTTGGGGGGTGAGAGAGAGATAGAGAGAGAGGGGGAAAGGAAAACAGGAGGAAGAACAGAGTCCGAATAACTTTCTCCTAAGTAAGTCACAGTGTGGACGTGAGCCCGGCAATGAACCAGTGCCTGAATCAGAACATGCATCACTCCTGCTTCCCAAAGAGCTACAGTGGGTGATGGAGGGAGGTGCAGGGGGAGAGTGATAACACAGTGAAGTTTAATGATCACAACACAACGCTGTGAAACTAAGGGTGAGATAAGAACGCTGGTTGTCACCTTAAATGCCTTTCGCCCCCAACTGTGTGTCCTACTCCCCCTCCCCACTCCCTTCCCTCCCTCCCGCCCACCCTCCCCCTCATCCCCCAAAGGCATTCCAGTTCCGAGCTCCGCGATGGCTGGATTCCTTCACTTGACACCTCTTCCCAATGCTGTTCAGATGTCAGGAAATGGGGTGGTGGGTGGGTGGGTGGGTGGGTGGGGGGGGAAACACACGTCAATAGCCTATCGGGTGGGACCCAGGCAGATCGGAGTGAGCGGGCGAGCGAGCGAGTGGCTTATTAATTAATTGTTACCGGCCTCGTCACAGGGTCAGGTTTGCCACCCGGAACAATCGAAAACGAAAGAAGAAGAAGAAGAAGAAAAAAAAGGGCTGTAATGTCCAAAATTCTCACCCAACTCATGTTCGGCAATGCTCTCTATTGCAACAACGTTCGCCTCCATCCCTCAAACCCCCGCCCCCCCCCCCACCCAACCCCACACACAAGACCAACCCCCACCCTCAGACAGCCTGAGCACAGACCATGGGGGGGGCCACGGGTGCTGAGGTTTAAGCTCGGTTCACAATGCTTCTCAATCCCTGACTGTTTGTGGGACGCTGCTGTGCGCAATTGGCTGCCGCGTTTCGCCCACGCAGTACGCAGCCGATCCGCTCCACGGTATACTCTGCGACGCGCTTTGACAACGTCTCGAGGGCGTGATGAGGCGCTGGATCACGTTCTATATACTTGTTTACTGATGAACTTAAAATGAAACGTGGATGAGTCACGGCAGCTGGACAAAGCTTCTCAATGCTGCGCTGTCCACCCCCCCCCCGTCCCCCCAACACCCCACTGAAACTCTGAGCTTAATAAAGTCAGACTGGGCGCGTGGGTGAGGTTGGCTCGGCCAACGGTGCCTGATCCACACGTCAAAGTCACTGTCTCCTCACCTCGCCCTCTCCCTTGCCTCCTTCAAGGCACATCTCGAGACTCTCCTCGGGTCACACTCCACCCTCCTGATCCCAACCCCCCCCCCCCCGATCCGCTGGGGTCCAAATCCCTGACTATTCAGTGCCTCGGGAAGTCCTTCTGACATGGAAGGCGCTGTGTGAATGTAATTTGTTGTTGTTGTTGTTGCCGTGTGGAGTGATTAAGGCAGAACGCGCTCTCTCTCTCTCTCTCTCTCTCTCTCTCCTCCCTCCAGCCTCCTCCACCCCCTAACCAGAGATTGTGTCTCTGTCCTCTCTCCTCTCCCCCCCTCCAGCACCACCGCACTTCCTGGCACTGTGTCTCTGTATTCCAGGCAGTATTACCGAGCTGCGGGAAAGAGAGCGTTTCCCTGGCAACGGAGAGCTGGAGAAACCTGCCGCTGTGCCAGCCCAGAGCCGGCACGCACAGCCCAGCGAGACCCTCCGCCATTTTACTCGATCCCGGCTGATCCTGTATGCCATCCCCCCCTTCCCTCCCTCCTCCCCCGGACGCTCTCACTCTGTGTCTGTGAATCCTTTTCTATGGATCCCTCTCTATGTATCTCTCCCTCTATGTATCTATCTTTGTTTCAATCTATATAACTGTACTGTGTCTATCTCTCTATGTATCTCTCTCTCTATGTATCTCTCTCTCTATGTATCTCTCTCTCTATGTATCTCTCTCTCTATGTATCTTTCTCTCTCTATGTATCGCTCTCTCTATGTATCTCTCTATGTATCTCTCTCTCTATGTATCTCTCTCTCTATGTATCTCTCTCTCTCTATGTATCGCTCTCTCTATGTATCTCTCTCTCTATGTATCTTTCTCTCTCTATGTATCGCTCTCTCTATGTATCTCTCTATGTATCTCTCTCTCTATGTATCTCTCTCTCTATGTATCTCTCTCTCTCTATGTATCGCTCTCTCTATGTATCTCTCTCTCTATGTATCTCTCTCTCTATGTATCTCTCTCTCTATGTATCTCTCTCTCTATGTATCTCTCTCTCTATGTATCTCTCTCTCTATGTATCTCTCTCTCTATATCTCTCTCCCTCTGTCTATCTTTTCTCTCTGTCTTTCTATCTGGCTTGTCTCCCTCCATCTCTCTTGTTATGGAACTTGAACCCACAATCTCCTGAGGCACAGGCGAGCGTGACCCTGTCTGACTGAGCCAGGCTGACACCTCGCTGGAGGTTGCAGAGGGTCATTAAACCCAGCGCTGTGCCGAGATCCGGTAATCAAACAGGACTTACCGTTTGTTACTCTCCACCTGTGTGTTCCATTCCTGGTGATGGTGAGCGGGAACGTTGAGGAACTATCTCAGAGGCTTTTCAATTGTCCAAAGTTGGCCTAAAACGTAGCAAATACATAATTCTTTTGAGTCTCTGTACTGTACGGTACTGCAGCAGAACTGAAGCCGTGTTGAAGTGGTTGATCTCAGCCAAGGTCAGGGCTAGAACTATCCTTACCAGCTCCTGAACCCACAACTGCACGGTGCATGCACGTGTGTGCGTCTGTGTGTGTGTGCAAGTGTGTATGTCTGTGCGTATGTGTGTGTCTGTGCATGTTTGTGCTCTGTTTGTGAACATTGGGTAAGGACAATTTTGGCTGTGACCTCTCCTCCCCCCCCACCCACCTACACCTACCCCGGTTCAAATATCTTGCTATGTCTGAACTACCCTGTTTGGCAGGTCTTTGGTTCGCATGTGAATGATGTGGTGTGTGTGTGTGGGTGAGGGGGGGTGGGGGCAGAGCCATCAGATAGAAAAATCCCAGCCACGGGCCAACAGAGAGAAAGGCCAGCGGTAAAATTACATTTGTATAGTGACTATCGTGGTGGGAGACTTCCCAAGGTGCTGGACAGTCAGCGATTTAGACCAAAATGGAAAAGAACGAGAAAAGGCCTTGGATCTCAGGGAGAGATGAGATCTCAACTTGCTCAGTTGTGGAGTTCTGTGGGCTCGAGCCCCACGCTAGGCCATACAATACCATTTACGTTTATGTGGCAACTTTCATGTTGGGAGGACATCTCAAAGCTGCTTAACGCTTTGTAAGTTCTTGGCTGACACTGTCACTGCAGTGCGTTACCAAACGAGACCCGGTTCCCTCCTCGTCCTTCCAGTAGACATTAAAGATCCCATTTTGGAGGAGCCGGGGGACTATCTCTCAGCATCCTGGCCGAGATGTGGCCTCATCCACATTCGCTCAGAACACAGGTGGAATAACAACAACGCCACCAACAGATTATATTTCTACAGCGGCTTTCACATCGGGAGGACGTCCCAAGTAAATGGTCCCAAATGAACGGTACCATCACTGCTGGTGAGTGCAGATCAGATGCTGCGCTTGTCTCCAGAGCAGCAATGGGCGAGGGGTGTGTGTGTGTGTGTGTTCCAAGTTAAGTCGCAGAGATCTGCTTAATCCCGACTATGAGAAAAATACATCAGGTGGGAATTTCTCATTAGATACAGCACACAGCGCCCTAAATCCCCCCCCAATAAAATTTGTTCTTTGTAGTTGGTTTAACTTCGATCTCCCCCACACCTACCCGCCACCACTCCAAACCCCGCTCTCTGCGTGTGAATCACAAGCCATCCAGGGCGAGGTGGAGGGAGACAACAACAAAACATTACATTTATGCAGTGCTTTTCACGTTGGACAGTCAGGGATTTGGACCCAAGCTGGTACTTGGGATCAGGAGGGGTGGAGGGTGGGTTGGTGTCAGTAGGAGGGTGGTCGAAGAAAAGGATCTTCAGCGGGCCTTGAAGGAGGCAAGGGAGGGGGCGAGGCAAAGGGACTATGGGATGAGACAGTTTGAAATCCAGTTCAGTCACTGAACACGGCAAGACTCCCCTCCCGACAGGGGCAGTCGGGCGGGCGTGGGGTGGGGTGGATGATATGCTCCCAGAAAGGAGCTTAAAATTGGGCGGGCGGTGTGGGGGGTGGGTGTTGGAAGGAGAGGAAGGGGTTGAGGGAGGGGGGGGGAGAGACAGAGAAAGGAAAGAGCTGCGGGTAAAATGGAACAAAAAAAGTCTTAAAAAGAGCTTCCTTTCACCCGTCTGGTCAGACCGAGTGGCAAACGTCTCTATATTACATCCCGGGCAGCAATTGCCAAGCACCACAGAGAGACCGTGCACTGAAGTAAAAGGGTTTAAACACTATGGGTGTGGGTGTGTGGGGGGGGGGGGGAGGAAGGAAGGAAGGGGGCTGGTTTATTCACCAACCCGACTGTTCCAAAATGACCCGGTTCGTTCGTTCGTTCATTCATTTCTTTCCCCCTCCTTTCTAACCGAAGCACAAAAAAAAATCCCCCTCCGCTCTCTTTCTCCCGCACTCGCTTCCCGACACCGACCCCCCCCACACCCCTCCACCACCCCCCACCCCTCCACCTCCCCCCCCACCACCTCCTCCCCGCGACAAAGGCAGAGTCGGGAGAGAAAAGAAGCGAGAGCCCTGATTTCAAACCTTGCTGTGTCCCCGTGAGCTCTCCGTGCCTGAGCACCGCTCGGTGTCTCAACAATGGGCTCTTGTTCAAGGGAGATGGCAGCAGCTGAGAGATGACTGCATTGGAGCTCGGTGCCAAACTAGCGGTGCCAACTGCATGACATCACCAGGCTTCCTTTCACCCCCCCCCCCCACCACCCCCCCACCCCCCGCCCACCCTCCCACCGCCCACCCTCACCACTTAGCCGTGCCTCAGAGAGCACACAGCATTCTGGGGAGGCTTGGCACTGACCATCGGCACAACTGGAATAACAAAGCGTCTCTCTCGCCTCCCCCCCTCCTCCTCCTCCTCCTCCTCCTCTCTCTCTCTTCTCTCTCAACCCTCCTCTCACCTCGCCCCCATCTCCCCCCCCTCTCTCTCTCTCTCTCTCTCCCTTCGCCTCTCTCGCCAACCCCCACCCCTCTCCTCCCTCGCCCACCCCCGCCCACTCGCCATCTTCTCTCTCTCTCTCTCTCGCTCTCTCACGTGCGCCCCCCCCCCCACCCTCTCCCCCTCCTCCTCTCTCTCGCCTCCCCTCCTCTCTCCTCTCTCATTCGCCCCCTCTCCCCGTCTCCTCTCTCTCCCTCCCCACAACACCCCCCCTTCTCTCCCCCATTCCTTCCCTCCCGGTGGGTCCACATCGCAGAAAAGCAAACATTTCACAACAAAGCTCGCTGCCAGTTTCAGTCTGTTACAGGAAATGACCGGTTTTCAAAAAAAGGAAAGTTATCATCAATTCAGAATAAAACTCCCACTAGACTGTCTGTCCAAACTCCCAGGTCAGGGATAGAGACGCAGTAAAGTTCCCTCGAACATTGTCTGGCCAGCCACTTAAACTCTTGCCCCCCACCCCCCACACACACACATTTAGTCCCGAATTGTAACTGGTGCTAAATAAACAGAGCACGTGGGGGACGTGAGGTGAGGCTGTGACCCAGCCATGAAGAGCAATCACAGGGTGCACTTGTGTTTGCAAACAAGGCCATCAGTCTTACAAGCATTTTATTCCCTTTTACCAGATGATGACCCACTCTCTCCCTTTATCTAAAATAAGGCTATAAACCCAACTCTGTTTTACATAACCTTATTGGAGGCGTTGTCCTTCGAACGAGAGGTTAAACTCAGGCCCCCCATCTGTGTCCTGTTTGGTGGACGTTAAAGATCCCGCAACGCTGTCGGAAAGGAGAAGAGAGTTTTTCTCTCTCTCTCTCTCTGTGTGTCCTGGCTGACAATCCCCCCACCCCCACACACACCCCCCCCTCAACCTCCGCAGGATAAAATAGTCCATTCGCCTCACTCACGGCTGTTTGTGGAGCGTTGCTGCTGTTAACTGGATCCGTGTTAGATTATATCTTATATAAGGGAGATTCCTCTTCCTGCTATTTGTGGCGATTTGTTTGGGCGATGTGTGTTTGTGGCAGCGACGGGCGCCTGCGAGGGGAGGAGGGGTGGGATTTGCGATGCTGGGCGGAGGGAGGTGAGGGCGAGGGGGTGGTGGGGGGGGTGGGGGAAGGAGTCCCACAATAAGCTCACTGTAACGCTGAGCTCTTAATGGGCCAGGAGACAGATCACATCAGCCTGACCTTGGGGGTGACAGAAGTCTGGCGGAGATGAGTGTCGCAGTCTGAGCACCTATTTTTAAGTGGTGACAGATCATCGAATTCCCCCCAGTCTGCACTGCAGCCACCACCGTTCTGACCTAGATACCTTCCAACACTGCCTCCTGCCTCCCACTAAAAGTTACCATCAGTCTTTCTATTCTTACACCAAGTCTGGCCAGACAGAATGCACTCGATGAGAGAGGGGAGGAGGAAAGGGGGTGGGAGATGGGGGGAAGGGTCTTTTATTAGAATATAAACTAATAGATAAATTTGAGGAATTTGTCTGCTCTCTGGCAAAGTCTGTCTGCAGCAAAGACAGAGTCCGTGATACTCAACGTTAAACTGTTGGTGCTTTGCTGTGTGCTCGCTTTTGTTAAATGCATGACCATCACTTCAATCGCCCCAATCTCTTCTTCTCTGACCTGCTTAATCCCCAACCCACTACCCGTTTCCTCTGCTTGACTGGTTCCGGCCTCCTGCTTGTTCCCTGTTGCCTTCTGCTCCACCATCAGTGGCCGCGCTTTCAGCCACTGCGCCACGAAACTCTGGAACGCTCTCCCTCAATCCTTCCGCCTTTCCCCATCTTCAGATCATGCCTGAAGACCTTCCTCTTCGACTTATGGTCACTCCCCCACCCTTCCCCCCCCGGCTCGGCATCAGACTCCGCCACTGTCAAGCGCTCTGAGACGCTGCCCCGCATGAGCGGTTTTGTGTAAATCCAAGTTGTTGATGTTGTTATGTCCTACGCACCTGAGGGCACTGACTTCAAAAGCCTTTCAAATCCCCCAACCTCTTTCCCTCTCCTACGATCTCTCCCCCCCCCCGTGGTCCCTGTTGCTTTGCCCTGCACACTCAGGCTTGCCGTACACTCCTTGCCCCCCTCTCCATCCCAACACTGGTGGCCAAGGTTTCAGCTTCTGTCGCCCCCCTGCTCTATGGCTATATGGATTCCCCCCCGCCACTCACCCCCGGCCCTTCAAAACTCTGTCTGTACTTCGCCCCCTCCCCTCTTGCTGGGTGATGTGCATCATCTGTGTGAGACGTTATCCTGCGTAAAAGGCTTCAGTCTGACTCGGACCGGCCAGGGAGATGTCAGTGACATAAATACCGTACGGGTGCAGTAGAGGGCGCCGTACAGAGGTTCAAGGTAAAGAGGATATAGAACTCCAGAATCTTGCAGCACAGAAGGAGGCCATTCGGCCCATCGTGCCTGTGCCGGGTCTTTGAAAGAGCTGCCAACTAGTCCCACTCTCCTCGCTCTAACCCTAGAGCCCTGCACATTTGTCCTTTTCGAGTACCTATCCAATTCCCTCCTGACCAAACCTCTTCCATTGCCCTTTCAGGCGGTGATGAGGTTTGAGATCAGATGAGGGTTTGCATTTGTTGCGCCATTTGTTGCATCCTCGCATCTCAAGGAGCTTCCCAGTATCCACTGGCAGGTTTTAGCTGTCTAAACTCCACAGCAGCTAATTCGCGCAATGCAAAATCCCACCAACAGACTCTCTGAAATATAAATCTCTCGCCTTAGCTTTACTCAACACCAGCCTCAGATGAACTCTCTCCTCTCTCTCTCTCTCTCTCTCACAGATTGCAGCCTCCTGGTTGGTTCAAGAGACCTTACAAAACTATTCCCCTCCTCTCCCTACAACCCCCACATTGCACCAAGTATCCGTTTTTGCCCAGAGTTTATTCCTCGGGTTGAATCTTTGTGCTTGGGATTTCCTTGCATTTGCTAACTGTGATTGTATTGACCATCTATATCGGGGCGAAGCCTTTAGGCGAGTTTCCTTACTCCACACGCCTCTGTTCGCTTTCTGGGGGTGATAATAATCCCTTTAAAATAAATGAATGAATAATAATAATTATTATGAATAATAATAATTTGGTCACTCCATCCATGACTGTTTGTGGGACACTGCTATGCGTGATTGGCTGCCGTGTTCCGCCAATGAAATACACAGTCACTACACTTTACATTGTATTCTGTGAAGCACTTTGAGACGTCTCAAACGTGATAAAGCGCTATATAAAATGCAAGGATTGTTATTATTGCTACTAGTATTCCCCTCCTTGACCTGTCCATCCTATGTTCCTCTACTTCTGACACAGGGTACAGCTAATTTCTACCGCCCCCCACACCCCCCGCCCCCTCTCCCCAGGTGTCTACCGTCGCTGTACTGTGAGTGACTGCTAGGGGGCGCACGTGAGCAGTTTGTCACAATCTTATCAAAACTCTGAGCACCAAAGGGAACCAGTCAACCTGTGTCACTGCCCCACCTGCACCCCCGGTCCTTACTAATCATCCAATTGCATAATTAATTAATAGAATAATAATCCTCGCATTTAATACAGCCTCTTCAGGAACGTCTCAAAGTACTTCCCAATATTTCTGTAGAAGTGCATTGACTGTGTATTTTCTGTTGGCGGCAGCCAATTTGCACACAGGAACTATCACCAGAACAGCCACAAAGTGAATGACCAGCCCGGATAAAATTTCAGTCGATCGGGGCACCGGGAGAAACTCCCATCTCTTTTCCAACGGCACCGTGGGATCTTTAACCCCCTCTCCTGAAACAGCCACAGGGGAGCTGGGATTAAGATCTCGTCCTCCGAAGGCCAGCGCCTCTGACAGGACAGCCCTACCCAAGCCCCTCATCCACCTCTGTGCTGGGGAGTCAGATTGTCAGACGATTCCATTAATATTTGCAGAAATATTTATAGAATTAAATGTTGCTCGCTCTGTCCGCTAGATTCCGGCTTCGTATCTACCCCCAGAAGTGACAGCAGCTGTGACAGGGCTGAGCTGTTGCTAGACAGTGATTTCACTGTGTATTTACAGTGGGGTGAATGCTAATGGGATTCTGAGATCTTTCACATTGTCTCGTGTTACGTCTGAATCCTGCGAGCGACAGAGAAATTCTAATCATAAATAACAATCCCTGCGTTTGATCTTGCGCTGAGGATGTTGACACATCTGCTAGCGCTTCCCGAATAATTGCTTTCAAGTGTAGTGACTGCGTATTTATCGGGAGTTGTTTTACAAAGTCCCCATAAACAATCGTGAAGTGAATGACCAATTTATCTCGGGGATTGTTGGCCAGGACACTGGGAGAGAGAAACTCCCTTCTCGTTTCCAACAGCGCTGCAGGATCTTTAACATCTACCTGATGGGGACTCAGTTTGATGTCTCATCCAAAGGACTGCGCCTCCAACAATGCAACCCCCCCTCCCCTCACCATCCCCCCGCAGCACTTTGCTGGAGTTGTGAGTCTCAAGTCTCGACTCGACCCCACAATTTTCAGGGGCAAATCTGAAAGCGCTCTCACACACCGTGTTAGTTTTTATAACAGGAAGCACTGAATGTTCCCACATCGGCATCGACTGAAACACAGTGGATTAAAAGCAACCGTCTCTGCTTTGAATTCAGTTAGAGCAGTGCTTAACACATCATCAGCAATACACACACCCAGGCCCGCAGGGGAAATTATAATACACAGTGTTATAGCCAGTAACACATGGTGTGTTATTACACACACACACACACACACGGCGGTGTTATATCCAGTAACATACACAGCATTATTGTACATACATACACACACGCGCGGTGACATTGTGTATTATGATGTATAATACACACAGGAGTGTTTGACGGTCACTGAAGCCAGTGTAAGGTGCACAATCTTACCTTGCTCGCAGGCTCTGAAGGCGAGCGCATCGCTGGAGGCAGGTGACAAGTGCTCACTGTCCCACTGCAATAGGTTCTACAATAAACCACAGAGAAAGTGTTGCTTAGACTTAAGATTCTGTTGAGCTTTGGGGCAGATAACTTACATTGTACCACTTGCAAACAAACCAAAGCTGTTTCGCCAAACGCTTTTCCACGACAGCGGAATCCCTTTCAATGTTGGTTATTCTGTTGTTAAGACTATACTCTCCCGGGAAGAAATATGTCTTCGTGGGCGGAGGGGGAGAGCGAGGGAGGGACGGGAGGTGAGGGAGGCAGAAGAAGCCTCACGTACCGGCCGTGGAGCGCTGGGAGACAGTGGAACGCGCTGGGCCTAGATTTGCAGAAGCCGGTTCGCGAGGCCGAAGAGAGGCCTTAACACCAGCCACGCACGCGCACGCGCGGTGGTGTGTAAGTGTGTAGGTGTGTAAGTGCGCCACTCTGCGGCCTCCCACATTGAAGCAAATACGAGGCCTAATTTCTTTGCAGTTATTTTTCCTTAATAAAAAAAAATCAAACGGTTCGGTTATTCGATGCGAGACAATTTGCCGGTTCGGTCTCGGGACGAGTCCTTGCCATTGACTGTTTCGCATGCGAAATGCTTTCCTCTCCACCGTCCGCCCTGCCCCCCCCCCGCCCTGCGCCCCCGCCGTCCTGCGCCCCCGGCCCCCAGCGCGGTCACATTCACGTCCCGGCTTGTCGTGCATGCGATACGAGCTTTCGCACAAAATGGGGCCGGGAGGTGCAACGAATGCAATGATTATTATTAATTTTCTTCTCCTGAGGTCTAGCTCCCCCGCCCCCCCCGCCCACCCAGCACCGCTGCCGCACCCCCCCTCACCCCCATATACACACACACACACACACGCACACACCAGCCATCGTATCCAATCCTGAAAGTCATTCTCTTTGTGCTTGAAGCCAGTGCCTCTCTAACACGCTCAACCGCCCTTTGATTTGAAAGCATCTTTCATCAGACTGCATGTCACCCGCTAGTCGCTTGATAAAAGCGTTTGGGGGGAGGCGGAGGGAGGGAGGGAGGGAGGGGAGGCGGAGGGGGGGGGGGGGCAGGAGCGGTGGAGGGAAAGAGAGAGAGAGAGAGAGAGAAAGAGGGAAAGAGAGAGCGAGAGGAAGGATCTTCGCGAGGGTGAAGTAAATCCCAGTCTGTTGCTATGGTAGCAGACATCTCCTTCGCTCCCATTCATCGAGTGGCGAAAAAAAAAATCTCCCAGGCCCACCGAAGGATGAAGTGGAGGCTTCACACGAGATTAAATTAGGTTCCTCAGAAGCAAAAGTGTTAATTAAAGTATTAGTCTGGGACGATTGATTTCCTGAGCGCAGACTTCCAGGGGCTTGTGTAGTCACCGATACGGTTACAAAACCCCCGGCCTTTGACCTTGGTTCCCCCCATTCAAAATGAGCGATAATAAATGTGTGAAAGTGATGATGAGCTCCCAGCGCGCTGAGCACACAGGCATTTTCTCTCCTTGCCATCTGCTCGCGCATTGTTGTGTCCTGACGGATTTGCCTAATTCCTTATCTGCCTGCTTCCTGAGCGATCGGAATTAGTCTGAAGGCTACTCGTTGCCAATTCACACACCGAAACCCTCCGCCGCCCCCCCCACCCCACCCCCCCGCCCGATTCTCCCCCACCACCCTCCTCTCTACCACCCCCCCCGCCACCCCCTCAAAAAAAAGCATTTAAAAGAAACCACACACACACACATCCTGTACCATAAATATGCAAAGCTGCGTCCCGCTATTCTTGCTCAGTGATTACCCTGTTCGGTGTCAATCTTGTCATTTAAACGCCACTTTCCCCTCTTTATCCATCCTAATCATTTGGATACCGCTCTCAAAAGCCTTTCCCCTTCAAAATCTTGTGCGTGCGACTATTTATTTACCTATCCAGAACTCAGGCCCATTTCTCCTTTCACCCCCCCCCCCCACCACCCAACGCAACCCACCCACCCCTCCTACCCTCCCCCACTCTCCCATCCCCCTCCTCCCCTCTCCCCGCCACTGACCTGTGCAGCAATGTAATTAACCAGACGCCCGTCGCCCTTCACTACCTCAACCAAATGACCCTTCTTTATGCCTGAGTCTAGACAGCGAGTGTTGGCAGGTTATTCGACCGAGCGATGGGGGAGGGTCCGGGGGAACAGAGTGAAGCACCTCTTATTCTATTTGTTTTTTTCTAAAAAGAGGTGGGTGGGGCAGGGGGACCTCAAACCAGAGCCACTCGGAGCACTTAATATTAATAACAATAATAATAACACTTGCATTTAATACAGCGCCTTATCACGATGTCTCAAAGCGCTTCACGAGATACGCTGTAAAGTGGATTGACTGTATCTGTGGGCGAAACGCGGCAGCCAGTCAGTGTCCCCCAAATAGTCGTGGATTGAGTGAGCATGTTTTTTTTGAGCGATTATTACCTGTGATCTGTCAATTGACTAACAAGCGGGTTCCAACTTACGTCTATGTAAACAGGGGCGTGTGGAATAAGAAAACTAGCCTAATAATAATCCTTGCATTTTGATGTAGCTCCTTATCCCATCTTCGAGACGTCTGAAGGAGCTTCACAGAATATACTGTAAAGTATAGCAACTGAATATATTTTGTGGGCGAAATGTTTGTGGGCCTAAGGTTTCGCCCCACCTGGGAATCGAACCTGGGTCCTCTCGCTTGTGAGGCGAGCACCTGAACCACTGCGCTACAGGACTCCACTTAATCCAACACAAATAATCATTGCATTTGTTTGCGCTAAAACGTGAAACATTGAAGTTCGCAAATGAAAGGAGGCCGATAAAAATCAATCAGCCTGATTGATTGATTGATTGATTGATTGTTTGATTGACTGAACGAATGAACGAACAAAGACAAAACAAGCAGACATGAACTTGATCCCCAATTTGCCTCAACTGAGGACTGGAAACAGACAGAAACACGGGGGACAGGATTGTTCTTCCTCGCTGGCTCCCCTCAGCCCAAACCCCAAGGGCTTTGCCAAACTGCGGGAAATGCTCATAATGACAAGCTGCCGGGCTTCATCCGCAGTTACCCCCAAACACACAGAGTGGGGATGGTTCTCGAGCCTTAACTCTTGCCATCTTATGCCCAATGCTCTCCCTCTCTCTGTCTCGATGGAAGAAAGCCAGACATAGGTAGGATTCCTAGTCGTTTGGTTTGGAGTCTCTCTCCTGATCCCAACCCCCAGCTCGGGTCCAAATCCCTGACTGGCCACTGCCTTGGGACGTCCTCCCGACGTGAAGAGTGCCGTGTAAATGTCATTTGCGGTTGTTGTTAAGAGATGGCAAGAGGGTTGGCTCAGTCTTCTCTGGACCAGAAGGGTGTGGGTTCCGAGCCCTCCATTGGGGCTTTGAACAATAACAAATTACAAATTACATATGTGGAGCCCTTTCACATCAGGAGGACATCCCAAAGCACTGGGACTCCTGAGTTTAGACTAAAGGTCTGTTGCGGTACTGGAGGTGGGGGGGGAAGGGTGCAGTGGGGGGAAGGGTGCAGTGGGGAGGAGGTGATCCCGAGGTGGCAATGCTGGGCCAAGGGTGTGCGCGTTTAATTAACAAAACATCACAGCCAGAGAGGATCGAGTGCTAGTGCGAGGGGTGGGATATTGCCGGCTGACGTTGGCTTCCTCACAGAATCATACAGCTCCAGGCGACTCAGCAAATTTGCTGTTTATTGACGTGCTGGGTGCGGTGAGGGGGCGAGCCTCAAAAACAGCGCAGGGAGAACCATGGTAACACAGTCTTGCTGAGCCAGGAACCTGGTCTTATGGCGCGAGAGCAACAGCAAAAAATCTCACCGCTTCACTGGCCCTTTTTAATGATAATAATGGTTCTTGCATTTGACCAGTAACTGGACTGGAGTTTCACCCCGGTTTGTAATAATGATCCTTGCATTTGACACAGCGCCTCATCACGTCTTCTCGACGTCTCAAAGCGCTTCACAGAATATGCTGTAAAGTGAATTGACCATTTGTGGGCAGCCAATTGCACACAGCAGCGTCCCACAAAAAGCCGTGGATAGGAGTGACCAATTTATTATTGTTGTTTTCTCTTTAGGGATTATTATCAGGCATATGGAGTAAGGAAACCTTTCGCCCAAGGTTTCGCCCTGGTGGGAATCGAACCCAGGTCTCTCGCTTGAGAGGCAAGTGCTCTAACCACTGAGCTACAGGACTCCACTTTGGGTTTGTGAGCTCAGAGTCTACAACGTGGAGCTTGAGGTACTGATCTAGAGATGAGAATGTGACCCACTGAGCCACGATGATAGCCAACCCCACCCCTATCCCGTCCCCCCAACGTGAAACAAAAGATGGTATGAAACGTGTCACCTTCCTGTGCGCTGCTATTCTCAGCTACACCATTGGAGGGAGGAAATGTCCACCATTTGTGTCTCTGGTACTGATCGGGTAAAGGCTTTGAGACGTCTTGAAGATGTGATAAAAATGCAACGGTTATTATTATTGTCAATAGCTGGGTGGCCTCAGTGCCGGGGGGGCAGGAGAGCGGGAGCGAGGAGGGGTTAGGGAGGAAGGGGAGGTGGTTTTAGGGGGAGGAGGGGAGAAGGGAGGGCGGAGGAAGGGAGGAGGGGGGAGGGAATCCAGCCGGCATTTCCCGATCACTAACTCGTGACCTTCTGAGGGAGAGTTCATATGTCTGAACATTGGATAAGGACAGGATGGAGCTCAGCTGTGACCTCACCTCCCTTCAGGGGTCAAGGAGCCTAATGGCAGTGTCTCGCCATCCTCCCACACACACAGACACACACATTCACACACACAGACACACACACACACACACACACACAGAGAGACACACGCGCAAACACACTCAGATGAGACGGTTTGGGTGAGATAACAACAGGATTTCTCTCTCCCTGGGCGAGTTGTGAGCGAGTCCCTGGAGGGGAGGGAGAGAGAGAAATACTGGGATCAAAATTAAAATTGCTAAAGATTGAATCGATTCAGCCCCGAGAGGAGCAGGGCAATGGATGGAGGAGGGTTTG